GGCCTTCCCTGGACCGTGCTGGTTCAGAGTTCTCACATGCCACTCTTGCTACTGGGGCTGAAAACGCCACATTGGATCATAAAAAAGGATCTCATCTTTCAGACAAGTCTGGTTTGACAGGTTCACGGAATAATGATGTTTATACTAATTGGTTGACGGATAACAAGTTTGAGAGGAATGATGACGTCACAGGTTTCAAATGCTTTTATGTAAATCAATTCTGGTATTACTTGTCCCTTTAATAGGCTTGGTGGATCTTTGATTAATATGGATCTTAAATCTGCAATTATTTCAGGTTTCACGAAGGCTAATTTGAAGCTAGGGAAAAAACATTTTGTGTTTGATGAGAACAGGCGTAATACATATAATCAATCTCATCCTTCAGCCAGTGGACAAGAGTCATCTGTATTGACTACATTTGATGGAGAAAGGAAACAGCTAATGGCTGTACGTATATAACTTTATGCATTTCTCTGAGTTCATACTTTAGTTGGTGCCTGAATTTTGCCACAACTTTGTATAAGAACTGTGTATATTGGTGTCTTAGATATATTTAGGGCTTACTTGTTTGCTAGTGAATGGTCATGACCCGTCTAGGGTGTTAATTTAAGTGGAAAACCCATACTTAAGGAAAAAGGATATTTAACTCTATATTACATACGATTAAACCATGCAGTAGGTTTGGATTTTTTGCTGCCCTGTGAGAGATTTTCGTTGCGGTGGTTTCACATACCCCAGCACGTCCTGCTTCCTGCCTTTTGGTGGATGATATTATGTGGTCTGCTGACTTGTCGGTTGTGTGGATTTTGATTTGTGTGGTCTGCTGACTTGTCTTTTGTGTGGATTTAAATTTGTGTGGTTTGCTGACTTGTCTTTTATGTGAATCAGGTAGGGCTTCACTCGGACTATGGTTATGCAAGGAGCCTGGCTCGATTTGCTGCAAATCTTGGACCTGTTGCATGGAACATTGCTGCAAAGAAGATTGAAAGGTCTTTGCCCCCTGGTGTTAAGTTCGGCCCAGGGTGGATTGGAGAAAATGATGTTGCGCCAAATAGGCCACTGCAATTAGCCTCAGCCTCACTAGGTCAGCCATCTTCATCAGAGCCCTTTCCCATTCGTCCAAATGCATCTTCTGCTGCAACATCTTACTCTGTTGAGTCTAACGGAGATAAATTGTCAGAGAAGTTGTCGGGGCATAACTCTTCAGAGAAGCCATTGGGACATAACTCATCAGAGAAGCATGTGCCTTCTATTCCTTCAGCAAATACAAGCAGTCCTCTTCCTCTGTCTGCTGCTACCTCATCACCCCCCATTGTTGCCAATAAATCTCCTGAACCCCTCCCTGGAAAAGTAGAAACTGCTGAAGGATCAAACGCTCATACTGGGTTTAATATGCCGAGCAGCAATCTTGGTGTAATGAGACCGAAGTCTCCATTTCAGATCCATCAGAATTCTGTATTCCGACCTGGGATCAACGGATTTAACGGCACATACGGATTAAACATTCCTGCTCAGATGGGAAAGCCAGTTGGAGTGGCCAGGCCCGGTGGTTTTAACTTCCAGCCGTCTCAAATGCTCGACTCAGTCTCTAGGACTAACGCTAACTTCCATCCAGCTACTTCAAACAGCTTAACTTCAGAAGAAACTAAACTCTCCAAAACTCCAGGTACAATAAGCTCTTCCAGTTCATTTCCAAATTCAGTGAATGAGGCAACGGCAGCTCGGACAATGGGAACTCGTCCTCGGCCATCTTGGCAAGGGTTGTCACAACAGCAGAAAGCCAGTTCAGCATTGTCGCCACAACAAAAGCCCGACTCAGTTCCACCAGACCTGAATGTGAGGTTCCAGTCCCCAGGGTCCCCTAGTTCTAGCCGGGCTGATTCAGCGCAGCCGGATTTAGCATTGCAGCTCTGAGATTAATCCATTTTTTTCCTCCCCCATTACGATTCTCCTTCGATTAAGTTAACCAATAGAATGGGGAGTGATTCAAGTTGCTCCTTGTAGCGACGAGACCATAGGCGGTCTCTCTGCGTGGGCGAGCGCATCCCCACTCGACTGTAATGTAAAGGAGTAGAGTGTTCTTGTACAGGTTATTAATGTATCCTAATGCTAATTGTTGGGGGGCAAAAGTAAAAGAAAAAGGCTTGATTTGTGAGGTTAGGAAGAAGCGATGATGTAGGCAGGGTTTAGGATGTTTGTCTGAAGAAGATGTACGACAATCTATTCTTCAACTTAGAAAATCCTTGTGTAGTCCTGCAAGGAGTGTAATCTCTGATGATAATATTGTTATTTCACACATTTGGAATCTTTGTTGTTAGCCTGGAGAAATAAAGTTTGCTTCAGGTTTTGTAAGCGGTGAAATTGACCTGGTGGTTTGGGGTTTTTTGCTTTAACTCACTGTTTCTCGGGTTTATGTAAATTACAATAGAATGTAGTTTGTATAAAAAAGTTCGATTGAGATTATTCAATGATGTGTTTATAAGCGTCAGATTTGGAAGACAGAATTGGTTTTTGTTTTAATTGATGTCTTATTATATGTAATTCATGACACGTCATATGATTTGCAAATTTAGTTTATCAAAGTTGGTGAAAGCTTTATTTTTCATTATTTTTTATTTTTTATTAAGAAGTATAATTAGTTTTTAATTTAAAAAAAAAATCCAGTTATGAAAAATGAGATGATGAGAGTCAGACAATTTCCCTTTAAATGGGACAATCATGATTGACAATTTCTCTTAACGTGGGCAGTGGGCACAGTTTTAATTTTTAATGTATTACACAGTTACTTTTGGGATGAATAAAATTCTTTTTCATACATTGTTGTTCTTCTTATCGGTTTAAAATTGAATATTTCATCAAAATTTTGTAGAATTTCGATCAATGTGCAGAAAAATTCTTCTATGCTATATAGCATTGGATGATCTAAATTGGTATGAATTATTGCGTTAATATGGTTCTTTAAATTCAAATCATTCAATACTCATAATATTTAATATTACGTAGCACCAAAGTAGAACCCCTAAGTACGTCTTAGTTATAATTGTGAATATGCCTGCCATTAAAGTAAACTTAACCCTAATTTAGGCTTGAAAAGACTCTTGCACCCCTGCAAGCAATGCGCACATTGGTTGAAGAGGATCATTACAGAAACAAGAATCGAAACTTGAGACGTTTAGTAAACTAATAAATACTTTTAACTAAGTTACAAACTATTTGTCTTATGGTGTTAATGTGAAATTACAGGTAGAGGTTCGAGCTTTTGTTTCATTTTTATCCTTTTGTTACTTTGGGTGGTGTTATCCAAACACCAATTTTTACGTTTTACACATTTTCTCAATTTCATTCGTCGAATGAAATGAATTAAAAAAATCAATAAATTAAATTAACAAAAGTGTGTGAAAAATAAAAACGGATACGTAAATAACATTATCCTTTTACCCTTACCTTTTAATAGACATGTGTACGATCTAGATAGTGTGTGTACACATTTTCTTCTTGTGGAATTGTCTTCAGTTTTGGTCGTGACTCGTACCCTTGTGAAATTGTTTTGTTATTTAAAAGTCGGCCACAGGTTTGACTCCGGGAACAAAAGGTCTTGACCTGAGGCAGTGGATGACCCATGAGAGAGAGAGAGAGAGAGAGGTAGTGCTGTCTTTATGCTCTTGGAAGGAACTTGGTCAACAATGGCACGATGTTGCTAACTCAATTGCTCAGTCTAAGCATATCAATTAACAGCGTCACTCATAGAAATGGATGACAAGCAGCTGGCACCTTGGAGGCCATGTCGAGTCCCTTTACACACGCTCTTGAATGATTGCGAGTTGTTAATATGCTGCGAACCCTCATTAACATTATGTAATTTTCAAACGCGTGGACCAAATTTTTATTAATAATATGAAAAGTTGTCTAAGTTAAATGGCTAACAAGATTTGGCTTCTATTTGGATCAATTCGAATATTCGGTGACCAGTCAAATACTCCATTAGCTAATTTATTGACCCAAATTACATTTTGCAAACCCTTATCACCTTTATATTTGCCTGGAATTGTTGTGCTTCAATGAAACAACAACACAAACTTTAGTTTTCAGGACCAACAGTACACCATCTGTCACCTCCCAAAGACGTTGTCAATGGGTTGCAATGTGTCATCTACTCTAACTCCATTTACCTTTTTTGTTCCAAAAATTAGGGTCTTCTGTTGATGACCTCTTTGAAGGGTACTCTAATGGCGAAATTATTGGTAAACACCTTTTTTTTTTGAAATCCGGTGTATAATATACACTAAATTTCGAAGCATAATGATAAACTCAACTCACTTGAGAAACTCTTATTGAAGTCCAAATGTTTCATAAAAAACAAAATATTATGTGTTTCTCTAAAAAACACTTTAAAACTCAAAAAACATATATAACTTTTTTCTGTCAAACGTATCGTAATTCTTAAAAAAAAAAAAAACGTTTTAGTCATTCCCCCAATTCTTAACAAACACGAAGTCAACGTCAAGGAGCACAATTATAAATTTTTAACAAAAGTTTAATTAAATTGGGGTTACAAATTTCATTTTAAGGTGGCAAATTGGAAACAAATGACAAAACTTGTCTAGTTCCCACACTAATTAAATAATAATTTGAAGGTAGAAGAGAGAGACTTATTTTTTGCTCAGGACAACTTACTATCTAACAATAACAACGTAGCCATCACAAAGAGATTTAGTAGCTAGGGACGAATTTTAAGTTTGTATTCCACATGATATGTTTTAGGTTTATATTTTGGCACTGATGAATCATACAATGGTGGTTAAGGAAAGCTAAAATGTCTTTATGAGTTTTTCCGATTTTTGAAGTAATGAATTACCGTAACGAAGTTTACTGTTGAACCTTTAAAAAAAAAAAAAACAGTAACAGCCTGGCTCTTAAATTTATTAGTTTATTGCGCACTCTTGTTACTTTGATTGAATTGAAATTCTGTGTGGTGACCAAACTGATTTACAAATAGTTGCGGCAGCTGACTTGACTTGGAATAAGAGAGTCCGCAAATTCTGCATTACCCGCCACCAAGCTCTTCACCTTCTTCCTTTGTAAAGGACTCAGTCTTCACTCGCTTTCTCTTTTATGCTCAATTGGCTCACAAAAACCAAAGCCATAACAAAGTCATAGCCTTTTTTTTCTTCCTTCTCTGGGTAAGTGGCGAGAGAGAGAGGAGAGAGAAATATCATTTTAGTGGTTGAAGCTTTCAGGAGGTAGAATCCAAGAGTAGCCTTTTTTTCTTCTTCTGGGAAACTGGAGAGAGAGAGAGAGAGGGAGGAGGGAGAAATATCATTTTAGTGGTTGAAGCTTGGAAGAGGCAGAATCAAGAGGAGGAAGAAGAAGAAGAAGAAGAAGAAGAAGAAGAAGAAGAAGAAGAAGATGGGGAATTGTTGGGGTTCTCCAGTTGAAAACCCAACACCAGTAACTACTGGTGATCTCAGTACAGGTAAAACCCACAATTACTTATATATATATATATATTTGTTGTTTTCTTTCACTAGATTTCATAAATTTTTCGACTTTTGATTTGGGTTTTTGTTGTATTTGATTTTGTGGGACTAGATTTTGAGCAATGCCCATCATTAATTGAGCTGCAAATTGTGTTTATGAACTGTGTCATTGATTGACCAGTAATTACTAAATCATGAATATTGTGGCTATTGGATTTCAAGTTACTATAATTGGTTTCTGCTGGTATTTGTTTGGATTTCTAGGAAAAGTTGATGTTCTTTCTGCATGTCAAATGGGAAAAATGAAAAATCCATGGGTTTTAATTTGAATATTATTTTCTGACTTTGTGCTACTTCTTCAGTGGTCAGCAACTTATCTCAGACAACCAGTATTAACATCAGCAACTTATCTCAGACAACCAGTAATAACACATCTTCAGGGGAGTGTACTGTTTCTCGGAATAGCCAGTTCTCCGCTGCAAGCGGCGACGAGGCCAGTGCACATGGGCAGATCTTACCCACCCCAAACTTGAGGATCTTCAGTTTTTTGGAGTTGAAGGTTGCAACCAGAAACTTCAGACCAGATACAGTGCTTGGGGAAGGAGGTTTTGGGATGGTCTTCAAAGGCTGGCTCGAGGACAAGGCGCCGGCCAAGTCAGGAAAATCAACAGTTATCGCGGTGAAAAAATTGAGTTCTGAGAGCTTGCAAGGATTTGAGGAATGGCAGGTAAATTAGCTGCACTTGAGGGAATGAATATAATTGGTGATGCTCTATTGTTTTATATTAGCAAGTGTTCAAGGAAATAAGATCTTAAGAGTTGCAGTTCTGATTTGATATGTTAATCGAAAGTGGAAAGTAAAATACTGATCCTTTACCAAAATTAAACAGTAAATAATTATTTTTGTAGCTACAATCACTGTGGTATCCACTGCCCTTTAGGAGGGCGGAGTGCCGATTGGTTAATGCAGCTGGTGCCCTGAGTCCACAACAATTTAAGGGAGCTATAGAGTTCTATGGATGATAAAACAATGCCATGATATGCAATTTCTTCAAATTTGATTAGGTGATACTGTGGATTCTAGTTTGAATAAAAAAAGGGCTAAGTCAAGCGAGTTCTTTTCGCCAAACCCCCAAACTCAATCCATAATCTCTCTCCCGCATTCCTGGCATGCATTGCACACACACATAAATATTAATATTTGGCAAACTTCTGGCCTGTTTTATCAGTCTTCTGGGAGTATAAGTTTGCAAGCAGTGTGTCAAGTCAGTTTAGTTAATGCATTGTATTCTTATCCGAGTATTCTTTGCTGGTGCAGTCAGAGGTGAATTTCTTAGGGCGACTATCTCATCCTAATCTTGTAAAGCTATTCGGATACTGTTGGGAGGATAAAGAGCTGCTGCTTGTCTATGAGTTCATGTCAAAGGGTAGCTTGGAAAACCATCTATTTGGAAGTAAGTAAATAAGCATAAATAAGTTTCAAACATTACAAGTTATACATGCGCATCTTCCTGTGTGCAGGCATATGGTGTTTGCAAATATAGCAAGTTTGTTCTTCACCTTACACTTCATGTTTTCTACTTTTGCAGGGGGATCGGCTGTTCAACCACTTCCATGGGATATACGGATTAAAGTTGCAATAGGAGCTGCTCGAGGCCTGGAATTCTTGCATACATCAGAGAAGCAAGTTATCTATAGAGATTTCAAAGCTTCAAATATACTTCTTGACGGGGTAAAATTCTATTTGATTTATGAACAGTTATCAAGAATTAAGCTAAGAAACGCTTATACGTTTCATTTTCTTACCATCAAAGTGCTTCTCCGATTGCTCAAGAGATATTTTTTCATATGTTCAAACCTTACCCATGCCACATACTCAATTTTATCCACCATATTGTTGAAATCATTTCTAATTCAAAAGTAGTTGATTGAAAAAACAAAAGAAGAAGACAAATTAGACTTATATTTTACTTTTTGTTGTACTGCAGTCATATACTGCCAAGATATCCGACTTTGGCTTGGCAAAAATGGGTCCTTCAGCAAGTCAATCGCACGTGACAACACGGGTTATGGGTACATATGGTTATGCTGCTCCTGAGTATGTTGCCACAGGTAATTCTATATAACTTATTGTGGGATCCTAACACCAATTGGTGGAAAGGGTCAACTTTTTGATGCTGGATTGGCAAAGATTTAGGCCAATTACAAAATTCAAGTTCAAGCCATGACATTCCTCATACCATGCTTAATTTTACAGGTCATCTGTATGTGAAGAGCGACGTGTATGGTTTTGGTGTTGTTTTGATCGAGATATTGACCGGCTTGAGGGCCCTTGATACACATCGTCCAAGTGGAAAACAGAATTTAGTAGACTGGATAAAACCATTTCTTTCAGACAAAAGAAAACTGAAAGGCATTATGGATCCCCAGCTGCAGGGAAGATATCCTTCCAAAGCTGCCTTTCGAATTTCTCTTCTTGCTCTAAAATGCATCGAATCTGAACACAGAAACAGGCCATCAATGAAGGATGTCGTGGAGGAATTGGAACGGATAGAATCTGCTAATGAACTTACAAGGGAACCAAGGCCTCGTTCTACTCATCCTATGACTCATCGACAAGGCCAGAAGCCGTTGCATCATCGCTCTCCACTTCACCCCAGGCAAGACGGATCTCAAAGCTACCAACAGTCACACCAGGTTCGAGTGAAGTAACTCTAGCACGACTGCTGTCAGGAAATATTGTGTCAAAAAGTTTCGATTTGTTCATGTATGTATCTCCTGGGAGTTTAGATTAAGCTTATTGTTGTGTTAAACCGGGTGTGTTCTGTTAGCTGTGACACTGTAATTATTGTTTCGCTTCGGTAATTAAGCTTCAAAACTTGTAAGCAGAGTAATTAGTTGTGATTTTTCTGGAAGGGAAATTTAACCTTCTATTTTGTTATCAAGTTTAAAGATTCAAGGACAAAATATTTTACTGTCAGTTTACCTTTTGTAGTTTAAATTTGAAATGTTGGTATTACAGCAACTTCAGCGCAAATCATGTAAAACACAGAGACGTTACATTAATTTTATAACAGTGATGTTTACACTAGTTGTTATTAGAATGCTACCTTGAGTTATAAATTTAAAATAAGCGTAAACGTAAGGACTAGTTCATAATTCGAGGAGTACAATGGACGAAGTCAACACAAATATAACACGAGTATAGCCCGTTTTAAGGGACTTGGATTGTCTACCCTCTTATTTCGGTGCCCTCCTCATGCCCTTCTGTTTGTGTGGTCACGGTTAAGCCACGTCAACGTTTTATATTACTATTTCTTTTTGTTTTATTATTTTTATAAAAAAACAATATAAAATGTTTACGTGGCTTAACCGTGACCACACAAAACAGGGGGCACGGGAAGGGCACCGAAATGGGAGGGCAGACAATCCAAGTCCCGTTTTAAGTGTGTCATGCATGACACACAAGTGATATTTGCTACTTAAATAGATTCTCCCACTTTATGATTTAGACTAGATATTGGTTAGTCATCTGAAACATTGTCACGCGATTAACTTTTGTATCCCATCAGTACACATATGATGTTCATTTAGTGCCCAATCAATTATATGTTTTTTTTTAATCGGATTCAATTTATTAGTACAATGACACGCACAATCCTTCAAATCCTTCATATCTTGTAGTGCAGTTGCATACTGTCAAGAGATTTGACTTTGGCTTGGTCAAGATCATGGAAGAAAATGCCGATAATATCGGCGAAATATCGCCGATATTATCGGTTTTTCGGGAGGGCGATGTTATAAGTGGTATCCGAATGGTTTTCGGCCAAATATCGCGATATTATCGATAATATCACGATATTTTGGAAATATCGGCGAAATATCCATGGGTTGGTGGAATCGGAATCCGAGGCGACGTCGGAGAAGAACGCCGGAGACGGTGGGGCGATTCCCGGGCCAGTTTCGTCCCAAAAACCTTGCAAAAACACGAATTTTAACATCAATTTCACATATATACTTCAGATTTCACGCATGCATAAACGATTCAAGGCAGGGTGAAGTCGGTTTAGGGTTTAGGGTTTCAATGGAATCTCACCTGACGAAGACGAAGACGAACGATCCTTGCTCAGCGGCGCACCGCCACAGACGACTGAGACAACTCTGACTTCGCCAGAGCCACGATCAACGGCGAAGGGAGAAGAGAGATCGAGAGATCTCTGTGTGTGTGTGTGTGTTTGGGACTTGGGAGAAGAGAGATCGGAGATCTCTCTTTGTATGTGGGTGTTTGGGAGAAGAGAGATCGGAGAAGGGAGAAGAGAGATCGGAGAATGGAGAAGAGAGATCGAGAGATCTCTGTGTGCGTGTTTGGGAAAAGAGAGATCGGAGATCTCTGTGAGTCCGATCTCTGTGTGTGCGTGTGTTGGATCCGATGTCAACCTGTGGAGCTCTCTGTGTGAGTGTGTGTGTGGGAGAAGAGAAGGGAGAAGAGAGATCGAGAAGGATGATCGAGAGAGAGAGACTGAGGAGCTCTCTGTGTGAGTGTGTGTGTGGAAGAAGAGAAGGGAGAAGAGAGAACGAGAAGGATCGAGAGAGATAGAGACTGAGGTTGTCTGCGTGCGTGCGATGTGTCATTTGTGTGTGTGTGTGTGTGTGTGGGTTCCTCCTGTCAGGAGGATACAACTCACTCAATATTCCCCGACAAGTTTTACAATTATTTGGACAATTTCATGCAGCTTTTACAATTATAATTTGTATTCTTTTTAGACCATGAATGGTGGTCATTTGTGTGTGTGTGTGTGTGGGTTTGTCCTGTCAGGAGGACACATGACTCACTCCATATTCTCGACAAGTTTTACAATTATTTGGACAATTTCATGCAGCTTTTACCATTATAATTTGTAGTCTTTTCAAACCATGGACGGTGGTTTCATTCAAAACCGTGTGCCAATATTGTTTTAAAAGTTGCAGTATCAGAGGTATTGTGTTATTCTTTCAAAGTTGTCATTGTGAAAAAATTTCAAGAGGTGGAGTATCAGAGGAGCCTTTTCGATTATTTTATTTCCCTTACCCCTTTCAAAGTCATTCCAGATCCAGAGCTTAAACACAAAGGGTTCCATATTTAAAGTAAGTTTACAAACTTATATTTATATTCTTATAATTTATACAACAACAAAAAAATTTGTGTGAACTCGTATGTTAATTTTGCAGGGTAATTAAGTAATTAAGTAATGTTAATACTTGCATGTTAGTTTATACAATTGCATGTTAATTTTTTTAAGTAATTAAGTAATGTTAAAAAATTTGTGTGAACTCGTATGTTAATTTATACAATTGCATGTTAATTTTTTTAAGTAATTAAGTAATGTTAATACTTGCATGTTAGTTTTTGTAAGTAATTAAGTATTGTTAACAATTACATGTTAATTTTTTTTAAGTAATTAAGTAATGTTGTATAATTATTCCCTAGGATAATTTTAATATGTTTAATGTTATTTATTATTTTATTTCCCTTACCATTTTTCAAAGCCATTCCAGATCCATTCCAAAGCTTGAACACAAAGGGTTCCATATTTAAGGTAAGTTTACAAACTTATATTTATATTATTGTAATTTATACAACAACAAATAAATTTGTGTGGACTCGTATGTTAATTTTTTTAAGTAATTAATACTTGCATGTTAATTTTTGTAAGTAGTTAAGTAATGTTAACAATTACTTGTTAATTTTTGTAAGTAATTAAGTAATGTTGTATAATTATTCCCTAGGATAATTTTAATATGTTTAATGTTATTTATTATTTTATTAATATTAGGTTTTATTATCAAATAGGATTATTATTCATTAATATTAGGTTTTTTTATTATCAAATTGGATTATTCTTCATTAAATTAGATTATTATAAAATTGGATTATTATTCATTAAATTGGATTATTCATTAAATTGGCTTATTATCAAATTGGACTATTCATTAAAGCCCTCCAAACTTGACCTTAGGCCCAAATCTCAAACATAACCACACTTGGGTTGGGTTGGGTTGAACCAAAAGGTCCAAAACTTAGGAAAAAAAAAAAACGAATTATTCATTTTTATTCATTAATATTAGGTTTTTTTTTATTATCAAATTGGATTATTCATTAATATTAGGTTTTTTTTTATTATCAAATTGGATTATTCATTAAATTGGATTATTATTAAAGTGGATTATTATTAAATTGGATTATTATCAAAAAGGAATATTATTCATCACTATGTTTTATATTAGGATTATTTTCATGAAACATAATTATCATCATTTATAGTAGGATTATTTATATTAGGATTATTATCAAAAAGGAATATTATTCATCATTTATATTAGGATTATTTTTTTATCAAATTGGATTATTATTCATTAATATTAGGTTTTATTATTCCATATTATTTTTTTAATTACTTAAATTTTTACAATCACTTTCTTTACTTCATATTGTATTCTATAGTAGAATAACTTTATTATTTAGGTTCTCTTAAAAAACTTTATTATTTAATTCTTTTGTCTAATTTTCATGAAAAATAAATGTAGGTACGTTTAAGATGTCTAGTGGAGCTAGTAAACGTGATCCAGCTTGGGAACATGGCGACCCAATAGACGGAAACAAACATGGCACAATTTGCAAATATTGTGGTCGGGTAATGAAGAGTGGTGGAGTGACACGACTTAAGTACCATCTTAGTGGATTAGATCCAGCAAAAAATGTCCAACGATGCGATAATGTCCCCCCAGAAGTGAAGGCATTCATCAGCACATTATTAAAAAATAAAAAACAGCAGAAGGAAAAGATGACACAAGGAATGGAAAATATTCGAGCTGGGCTACGGGGAGAAGTCTATGGCCAAGCGGTTGACAGTGATGATGATGACGATGAGGACGAATGTGATGATGACATGGGACCTGAAGAACGACGCAGTTTGAAACAAGCATTACGTGCCTCCAAACAGTCAGCATGGGAAAGAGAACACCTTCATAAAATTCCTAATAGGGGACAAGGTTCCGGGACAAATGGTGGTGCACAAATGAGACGGGGAGGCAGTCTTAGAGAATCACAACCAACACCACCAATAGCCCCAAGTTTATATAAGTCATCCAACGCACGTCAAAAGAGTGTGTTTGGAGTTATTTCAAGGGAGGTAATGTGAAGGAGGGAATGGGGCGTCTAATTAGCAAGTTCTTTATCTATGAAAATGTCCCTGCTGCGAAGGCATCATCACATCATTTCAAAAATATGGTTGTGGGATGTCAACAGGCCGGTGTTGGAGTACAACCTCCCACTCCCTATGAGATAAGAAACAAATATTTGGATATGGAGTATAAAGACATGGGCGAGTATGTTAACAAGTTGAGGTCAAAGTGGGAAACTAATGGTTGCACAATCATGTGTGACGGATGGACCGGCCCGACCAGATTATCTATCATCAACTTCATGGTATACTCCAAGGGAAAGACAATTTTTTTGAAGTCTGTTGATGCTTCAGACCATATAAAGAATTACAAGTATATTTACAAATTATTGAGGGATGTAATCATGGAGGTGGGAGAGCATAATGTTGTCCAAGTCGTGACCGACAACGGTTCTGCATTTGTCAAAGCTGGAAAAAAGTTAATGAAGCATCATAATGTGTTTTGGACATCATGTGTAGCACATTGTATTGATCTTATGTTTGAGGCAATGGGGAAGAGAGAGAATGTTGCTACTGTGGTCAAAAGAGCTAGAACGATCACAAATTATATTTACAATCACGGTTGGTTGTTGGCAAAGATGCGTGAATTTTGCAGAGGAGAAATTATTCGTCCAGCTACCACTCGATTCGCCACCAACTATATATTGCATTAAACAGCCTACTCAAGAAGAAAGCAGGGTTGAAGCAACTATTCACTAGTGACGATTGGGCCAACCACAATTTCAGCCGCTCAAATACAGGTCGTATGGTGGAAAGTATA